TATATATATATATATATATATGTTGTGAACAATGCATCTCTTTCTAACTTTACATGTGTGCCAATTAAGTTTGTTTTGGAGTTGATGATTTGATATCATAATCATTAGACACTTGGGGCAAAGTAGTTTATTTCTGCTAGACTCTTTGAAGTATTATTTGCTAATTAGAATTTCTCGCATTGAGTGTTGTCTGTAGGAGCAGCAGCAAAAACAGCTTGAGTTGATTCTTGCTATTGGGAAGACTGGAAAATTATTTGAAACCAGACCAGAACGTAGTCAAGAACAAGAAAGAATTGAAATACATGATTCAACTGCAGAAAGTTTAAAACAGAAGGAATCCCACCAAGTATAAGTTTTGCGTAGAAACAAATCGAGCATTCGGAAGCATTAACTTATTACAGACAATGGTGGCATGAAGTCCAATTAGTTGATGCTGCTTTCATTGGCGCAATTAGACTCTACTCTTCATCTTTGTATTTACGTTTTGGCGGCTTTGTAGTTTCAGTGAATTGAAGAATTTCCTTAGTTTCTCTGTATATGTTACTCAGGAGGTTAAAGGAAACATGGCGAAGAAAAAGAAGTTGATAACGCTGTCGATCCTGGTTGAACCTGACCTTGTATTTTTACTAATAATACAAATGGCATTTAATTTTTTGCCCCTGATCACTTGTAATTCCTGTTGTATGGTAGACTTGTTTCTGTCATATATTGACCATTGCAGCTAAGCTTTTTTATCTCATGAAAATAATCCGGTTGTTATAAACTTCCGGTCTGTTTTGTTTTGTGTTTTTTTTTTTTTTTTTGGTTTAATCTCAATTGATTTGCATGTGGAGTACTACAAGACTGACAAATGCTGACGGTGAGAAATTGCCAAACAAGAGATCATCCATAAGGACCATAACCTCACGAAGAGTAATTGCAGAAAGTAACAAGTATGGGAAATTAGAGTGGTTTACCTCTGAACGGAGAGGCACGCATCATGGTGTTGGAATTTCATTGCACTTGAAATAAATGCCAAAACATGGACTTAGGGCTTTATTTACAGCCCTCAATTAGATTAAGGGAGAAAGAGGGAAATTGGCCAAGACTTAAGATGAATTAAAATTAATAAGTCAATAGTTTACATAAGTTAATAAATAGGCTAAATTATTATTTTTGTCCATAACTTGTCTGGTTATGAACCATAACTTGACAAGTTATTGTCCATTTTTATTCATAATTTATCTGGTTATGAACCATAACTTGATAAATTATGGCTTATTAATTTCTATAACTAAAAGTTGGCCTATATACTTTCTTAAGTTTTTCATATTGGCCTATTTTCTACTATTTTCGTTAAATTAAGTACAAATCTATAAATAAATGAACATATAATCTTTAATAATACTTAGTGGGATTTATCCTTGATTATGTCGTAGGTTATCCTTATATTTAGTTTGAATTTAAATATTGAAAGTTTGTGGAACATAGTTTTGTTATTAGGATTTTGATAACTTTTTACATGTCAAGCTCCCCAAGTTAAGCTTGGAGTCGTTCGAGCTGTACACGATCGTGGAAAAAAGGAAAATGGAACGGGTCACCGCCGAGAAATCTTTCAGCTATCGTCAAGAAGACAACTCCACAACATATTGAAAAAAACTATTCTTCTGACAAGAAGGTCAAGATGCTCCCATAGGTCTTTACAAGTGAGTGTATGATGACAGTGATTACGAGCAAACATATATATGCCTTTTGGAACTTGTTTCTTATTTTCAACATTTTTAGAAATGCTACAGTCACTACTTGCTTGTTAAGTTTTATAACTTCTTCCCCCCCCCCCCCCCAAAAAAAAAAAAAAAAAAAAAAAAAAACTTAGAGAATAATCTTTCAAGAAAAAAAAAATTAAATACCGAAGTAACATAAGACTCATAAATCAAGGATTGCGTATTTTTATAGGACTATTAGGTGACACGTGACAAGAGAATAATAAAAAGAATTATTAGTGAACTTAGAGGACGTTTGGTTGATAGATTCAGAATCATTCTCGATTTACGTGTATTTTTTGTGAGAGAAAATACTGTAGCGAGTCACGAACCATGGCACGAATCCTTGAACTAAACACACTCTTATGCTATGTTTGGTAGGAAGGAAAGAAAATATGATAGAAATGAAATATAGAAGTGATGGAAAATAATAATGATATAAAGGAAATTGATTTTCTTTTATGTTGTTTGGTATGAGAAGATAGAAAGAAAATGAGCTTACCTTCACTTGTTTAGTATTGAAAGTTAAATTGGGAGGAAAGAAAAAATCTTACTCGTAAATTACTTTTATACCCTTAAATTTTTTGCTTGGATGTTGATGGAGAAAATGGTAGTTTAGTAACTTTGCTCACTTTAATGAGTTGTCCCAATTTTTCATCTCATTTTCTGTCCACTTGTGGAAAGAAAAAAAATAGTGGGCCCACATGTATTATTTTCCACTCAATTTTCTCTTCCTTTCTCTTTTCTCTCCTACCAAACAACTTACATTTTCATTTTCCCTCTCAAAATCCCTCAACATTCTTCTTTCTTTCTACTTTTCTTCCTACCAAACATACTCTTAGTATTAGCACGTTTTGAATAAACTAATTAGAGGTGAAAATTGAAGCCGCACAACTTGGGCCTAATGGTCTGAATAGAAGCTTCAGATTGTCCCGGTAATACTTTCGGGCCTAAAGTATAGGCCCATGACAAATTCTTAATTGAGAAATAGTAGGAAATATGCCAATATGAAAAGCTTAAGAAAGTACATAGGCCAACTTTTAGTTATAGAAATTAATAAGTCATAACTTATCAAGTTATGGTTCATAACCAGATAAATTATAGATAAACTTGTTAAGTTATGGTTTATAACCAGACAAGTTATGGACAAAAATCAGGAATAACTTATCAAGTTATGGTTCATAATCAGACAAGTTATGGACAAAAACAGTAATTTGGCCTATTTATTAACTTATGTAAACTATTGACCTATTAATTTTAATTCATCTCAAATCTTAGCATATTTCTCTATTTCTCTCTTCTTAATTTAGTTGCGACTGGTCGGGATTGGGCCAATAGTAAAGGGCCTTAGAAAGACCGGTTTGGGTCGCCCAACTTGAAGCTTTAAAACCAACTCTTTTAAAAGTTCATGCTCTCTCTATTTATTTTAATTTTAATTTTATTTTATTTTTTGATGGAATTTAGTTTATCTTATTTGCGTTGTTGGATGCAGTGAGGACGTGAGCCTTGGGTTTGTTTGTTAGATCAGCAGTTTGTTTGACTATACGCTATTTTTAAGAGGTGATTGTTAGTTTTCACCATCACTTTTTAAGCAGTATAAAGTCTATATTATCCTTCATTCATATCTAAATTCCCAACTCTTTAGTTAATCACCGATTAACTCCAGTTAATTAGTAATTGATTAACTTCAGTTAATCTATAATTAATCAAATGTAGTATCCTATACTTAATCACCAATTAACTCAACTTAATCAGTGATTAACTCTAATTAATTAATAATTAACTGATTAATGTCAGTTAATTAGTGATTAACTATATGTGATTGTGGAGTAAAAGTGATATGTTTTAAACTTTTTCACGGTAATCGTAAAATTGAGCAATGCTATCATATAGTAGTAGCACGAGTAATTTTGATAAATATTTCTTGACAGTGTACGAGTCATAATTTTTATCTTTTATCTCTTATTTTATAATTTTTTTAATTAAATAATTATATTAATAAAAAAATATTTATTAAAAATTATGAATAAAGATTCAGATGCATATATTTTTGAAGATAAATTTTTAATTTTTTCAAGTAGGTATTTTCTCAATTGACCATTTGACCAACTAGATCAGGGTGGATAAAAGGCCAAAATTGCCGTTGGACTTATATGCCCACGTTGTGTACTGAAACGAGGTCGTGTCTTTGTACGTCCATTCGTTCGTCCCTGCACTTCCCCTTCTTCCCAGCTTCCACAAGCGCAGAGAAGAGAAGAGAAGAGAAGAGGAGAGGAGAGGAGAGGAGAGAAGAAAAATGGAAAGCTTAAGGAAGCTAGAAGAGTTACAAACGACGATAATGTTAATGCAATCCCACGGAATCATCACCTCTTCTTCTGACCACCACTCTGCTCGATTCCTCGCCAATCTCGTCCTCTTTCTTGTAATCTTTTATTTTTTATTTTATTTTATTTTTATTATTATTATTTTTTTACCAATTTATGTTTTAATTGTTATTTTTTCTAATCCTCTATTATGTCTTTTTGGGGAAAATGGAAATGATCAAAAGCTACAACCTTACGGAGAGCTGGACTTGGCGAAGAAGACTGCATTGCTTTCCGAGTATATTCCAAAGGTAAGCCATTACTGTTATACCTCGTCTCTCTGATTCGGTTTGACTCCGCTGGTTATTTCGTTAAGTGGGTTTTGCTTATTTTCACTTGTTTCTCACAGATTTCTGCTGGGTTCCTTGAGAAAGCCTCGGTCTGCCTCAGTGAGAAAGGTATTCAAAAGAAATCCCACAGTGGTTTTTTCTTTATTTCTCCTTGTGTAATTTATATTTGACCTTTTTTCTTAGTCCGGGTTGAGACATATCTTACAGCGTCTAACCGTTTTATGCTGAATGTTCTGAGTTTGAAGTTTGAAACTGTTTCATATTCAATTGTAAGAATGAAATAGATTCATAACTTCTCGGGGTATGCCATGTTGAGTTCCTTTTATTATAGCAGTTTTGTGAGGATAACTTGTGCAGATCCAAAAACACAAAGAAAAAACACTTGAACAGTTAGTCACACTCTAGCATGCTCACTAATAGTTTACTTTCTCACACACTCACTTCACTTCACATGTGTTTGGCAGATGCAGCAGACGGAACAGATTGCCGCTATTTATTGGCTGAGTGAACTTCGAGTTTTTTGATAGGCCACCTATCAGGTTCACTTATGCTAGTAGGCAGAAGAGTTTAGAGCAGCAGTAACATGGTAGTGGGGTGGGGATTAAAAGTCAGTTAGGATGTTAATAAGATGGTTGGGATGAGCTAAGTGGTTCTGCTGTACTGGTAGGATGGTTAATGACATTTAGAGTGGTATTAATGTGGGAGATAAGAGTTTGTCAGGTAGGGAATTAGTGGACTAATAATCATCTAAGCTGAAGGGAGAGAGCAGGGTTCTCGAAATCCCTGCTATGCGTGTAATTCCATTTCGGTAATTCAGTAGAATTCCATTCTTTCTACTTCTTTGTCCTTTCATATAATCTGTGAAACTATTCAAAAGCTAGGGATCTAACGCTTTTCCCATGGATTTACCTAGAGATAGAAGAATTCTAAGGAAAGATTCGTTTTCTTCAATTCTTCTCCTTGAGGAACAAATTGTTTTAGATTTTGCGAATTTGTAGGATCTATGAGATCTTTTAGATCTCTATACGTTCATTTACAGGCCGCATCTATTTACAGCCACATATCCCTCTTTTCTTGGCCTCCAATTACATCCTCTCTATAAGTAGAGTTCCTTCCCATTCAGCTAACAAGCAAGCCAAGTTTTGAGTGCGTATAGGGTGAATTAGTGAGGTAATATTGAGCATATGTAAGTGCGATCAATGAAAATGCTCCTTTCCTTTTCAAGTGCCAATTCTCTTTGTTGTCTTTATATTTTGTGGCTGTTGTACATGTTACTTGGTAATTTAGTCACACATGGTGCACATGCATATAGTAGTTTAGCTACACATGGTGTGACTTGATTGTTGTTTGTTGGACATTGGGAGACGTTTAACTTTAGCCAATCAAATAGTATTTTAATTGTTATTTCTTGGACATTTGGAGACGTTTAACTTTAGCCAATCAAATAGTATTTTAATTGTTATTTTTTGGACATTTGGAGACGTTTAACTTTTTTGCAGGCTTTCCACAACAGATCTTAGTAAAGGACTCGCAGAAAAACTCTGAGGATAAATCAACTTCTGATCTGTTGCCAACTAATTTTGAAGAAATAGCTACAATTGGCCTTGATGCAATGCAACGTGCAAATTCGACCATTGAAGATTTTGTAAGTAGTTATTTATTTCTGAGACAAAGTACTTGTTACAATTATACAATACTATTTACTAGGTGATGATTGAAAAAGATGAATGAGAAATTGCATCTGATATCATGTTCTTGATTGTTTGGGATTTTGGGCGAATAAGATATTGCTTTTATTGTTGGGATTCTATAGATTTCATGGCAATAAGGCTTTAACATAAAACTTTTTGATCATATTACCCCAAAATTTTCTCATGTTTAACTATGTTGTGACTAATGGGACTTCCTATTGTCCCTTTGGCTCTATGCATCCGGAGCTGATTTATGCAGACTTAGAACTTTTAGTGTCCGGTAGCTACTAAAAAGTGTGCTTTTGTTTATTATATGGTCTACACTTCACGAAAAGACCTTCACAGATCATCACACAAAGGTTTGTTTGCATGCTTTTACTTGCACGTGACTCATCATTTCGTACATTGGCATGTGACTTACCATTACTTCCACTTCTTTGTTAATTTCAAGTTAAAATTTTTGTTAAGCATAACATCTCTTTTCATATTAGTTTCTTAAAATGTTATGGAAAGCTAATTATGACCTTGAAATGTATATTAACTGGTTATACAAACTTGATAATGCAACTCCACTTTTAGGTTTTTATTTTTTTTTCCTCCCGATTAACGAAGAAAATAATAAAACTTTTCTAAACTCAAGAGTGCATACTATGATTCAACTACTGATTTAACTTTACACATTTCACAGTGCAGATCTTATTTTATGTTTCACGGGATGGATGCAAACAATCCGCAAGCATTATTCAAATATTTGCCTATTCTTTCATTCACAGAAAGTTATATTTATCAGGTAATCCAAACAAGGACAATAATTTATTGAGAGGAGAAAATTATTTCTAATTACCTTTGTTTTACTGCAAATATTTGACGTCCTTGGCTGTTGTATTGTAAAATGCTAGGACCTCTAACAACCATTTCTATCCACTTTCCTGACAGAAGGGCATATTCTCTCTCTTTATATGCCATTCTGTATATTAATCAACATAGGAGGACCATAGTGGTTACATGGTTAGTAGTTGACAAAGCAGGATACAGAAAACCACTCACAAATCAAAAATATAATCATAAGTTTCATAAATACATAATCATAAGTTTTATAAATACATAATCATAAGTTTTATAAATATTAATAAGAGAACTCACAAATTTTTTGGGAATCCACAAGGGAAGCCAACAATTTTTTCTGGGAAGGGGAGATAGAAAGAGTAGGGATTACAAAGGTTGAAGAGAGGGAATGGTGAGAGAAGGTTGTTCTTCAGTTGTAGAAGTGTGTGTTCTACAACCTATTGTGGAGCTTTATTTATTGAGTGAATTCATTGTAGCCCCGTGATAGGTGTTGTTCACAGACAATACCTGTGTCGGGATGAACAGTGAAATTTTTATCATGATGAAGATGCTTTGTACAGCTTTCCTCCTTTTTCGCCTTATCCATGATTGCATTTGAGACTAACGTCATTATTGTTCTTAATGAAGCTCTTCCCTAACCTTTTCTTGTCTTTTAGTCAGTCACTATTTTTGGTTACAATTCAAGATTTCAATAACTAATTTGTGAATCTTTTTTGCCTGACACTATTAAATACATCATGGAATAGTAAGATTCCAGTTATTGTATATTTATTTGATACAGTTGCCAAACTCAACTGTACCAAAGAAGGAATTGCCCCAAAAGATATTGTGAAAAAATGAAGGAAGGACCTAGGTTTGCAAATGGTACAAAATTAAAAATTCAATATAAACTTTCAAAGGTTATAATTGAAAATCAAAATGTTCACTACAAAACGGATTTTCTTGTTGGTAAAAGATTTAACCAAGGAGATTATCCCATGGTCACCATTTACTAACCTCTTGCAACCATTAGTTGTAGATGAATATGGGATCAAAACAAAAAATTAAGGCTGACAAAATCATATTTGAATTTATTTCAAAGCACAAAAATTTGGAAAATTAGACTAATAGTCTAACTTCCAACAGAAAGATATATGGTAGGTTTACCATATTGATTGATTCATGTTTTGCATAATTTTCTATAAAGATTTATTCCTCAAACAAAGGATTTTCTTAAAAAAAATAAAAAATAAATAAAAAAACGCATAAATACCATCCTGCATATTCAATGTTTTTTTTTTTCCAGAAAAAAATAACTTTGAATATTTTATCTCTAAAATTTGATTATGGTATTCTTACTTTTTTCATTATTGCTTTATCCATGAATCCTTGCATGAAAAAACCATGCCTTCGAAAGCTATAGTTAAGGAAAATTAGTAACTCAAAGAGTCAAGAGTCTTATGCTCTGAGCACCAAAAAAATAAATCCTCATGGTTTGAGTTTAGGCTGAGTCTAAAATGTAAAAACTCAAAAAAGGAAGCTGCCTCTAGCTCATGCTCAAGATTTCAAACAGGCCCTACCACAGTTGTCAATTGAGGAAGATCCAAATGCCAGTGCACTTGCTTTGGAAATCTTTTCTCAAAATAAGCGAATGATTTTGACTCAAAGCCTTCATCCCCTCCAAAAATCTTTCCGAACAAAGGAAAGACAATTTCCCAAACATCATAAAATTTTCCCCAAAATATGTTGAAAATCAAGAGAAGTTTGAGAACAAGTTTTACCTATTGAAAAAGAATATTTTCTGAAATAATCCCTTGCAAATTATATATATATA